GTGACCCTGGACAGACCACTTATCCTCTCTGAGCCTGTCTCACATCTAAGGAGCAGAACCACATGCCCTGCCTACCTTATGAAGATGTGAATGGGATAAAGATAGTGAATAGGACAGCACTTGTTAAACTGGTGTGCCCATATGAAGTATTACATTATGACAAGGAAAAAAACACACCACTGGCTGCTCGGGCACAGCATTCCCTTTCAAGTATTAGGGTGTGCGTGCGTGCGTGCATGCGTGCGTGCGTAATACTTACGTGTAACTTTGTTACGTATAACTTACATTATTACATATGTTATATGTAATAACACACATATATAACCACAAGTGATTTGGACCATCTACGTTCACATATATAAACATCAGTATTTCATATTTAATCTTATTTATTCTGGATATATACTGAAACGAACTTGGTCACCAGAAATGATCAGGACATTTAAGAAAAAGGAAAAAGAAGATGACCCTGAATCTAAAAGTACAAGAAGCCACATGGGAAGGTCAATCTGCTGTCTTGATTAAACGTCTGTTGCGTCCTTGGATGCTCACGATTTAACTGAGGAAATGACAACTTAGCCAGAAACAACCAGAGAAGAAAGTAAAGCAGTAAAATCGGTCAGCCTGGGGCAGATTGTGTGGTCTACCTAGAACAGCTCTAGAAGTGTAAAGGGGAAGAGCATTCGGGGCAGGGTAATCAGGAAAACTCCAGGGAGGTGGAGCACCAGGGGGCTGAGAGAGATGAACAGAGTCCGAATGGCAGCAGAAGGAAGCAGGACAGTCAAGGTAAAATCGTGCAGTGGGGATAAAAATAACAGTTTGACGCAGAGAGTTTCAAACAAGATGAACCCAAAGAGGCCCAAACCAAGGCACATCATAATTAAAATGCCGAAGGTTAAAGACAAAGAGAGAATCGTAAAAGCAAGAGAAAAGCAATTAGTTACCTACAAGGGAGCTCCCATAAGACTGTCAGTTGATTTATTTCTCAATGGAAACTTTGCAGGCCAGAAAGGACTGGCATGAAATAGTCAAAGTGATGAAAAGCAAGGACCTACGACCAAGATTACTTTACCCGGCAAAGCTATCACTTAGAATTGAAGGAAAGATAAAGAGCTTCCCAGACAAGAAAAAGCAGTTTGGTTCATCACCACTGAACCAGGATTACAAGAAATGTTAAAGGGACTTAAGAAGAAAAAAAAAGGATCAAAAATATTAATAATAAAATGGCAATAATCACATACCTATCAGTACTTAAAATGTAAATGGATTAACTGATCCAATCAAAAGACACAGGGTGGCTGAATGGAGGAGAAAACAAGACTCATATATATGCTGCCTACAAGAAACTCACTTCAGATCAAGAGACACAGATTAAAAATAGAGATGGAAAAAGATATTTCACGCAAATAGCAATTTTAAAAAAAAAGCTGGAGTAGCAATACTTATATTAGACAAAATAGATTTCAAAACAAAAGGCAAAGAAGGACATTTCATGTATAATAGCCAAGGTATGGAAGCAACCTAAATGTCCTGTCCATCGACTGATGATTAGATAAAGACGTGGTACATTATACAATGGAGTATTACTCAGCCATAAAAAAGAATGAAATTACGATTTGCAACAATATGGATGGATCTAGAGGGTAATATGCTAAGTAGGGTAATATAATAAGTCAGACAGAGAAAGACAACTACCATATGATTTCACTTCTACGTGGGATCTAAAGAACAATATAAATCACCAAACAAAACGAAAACACTCATAGATACAGAGAACAAACTGATGGTAATCAGATGGGGGGAGGGGTTGGGGGCTGGTGAAGAAAGGTGAAGGGATTAAGAAGTACGAATTGGTAGTTACAAAATAGTCACCAGGATGTAAAACATAGCACAGGAAATATAGTAATATTGTAATTATACTGTAACAACTAAGAATAGTGCCAGGTGAGTACTAATCAGGGGGATCACTTTGTGAAATACATAAATGTCTAATAGCTATGCTGTATACCTGAAATTAATATAAAATAATACCTAAAGAACAATATAAATCACCAAACAAAACAAAAACACTCATAGGTAATTGAAAAAAAATAAAATTTTTTTTGAAAAAAAATTGGAAAATTGAAAAAAAATAAAATATTTTCAATAAAATAAACAAAATAAAGATAGCAGCCTGAACGACATGGCATTTGTACTGGAGCAAGAAGCTCCCCGTTCACTGGAGCGCAGCTCTCTGGGAAAGCTGACAGCTCTACGAAGAGCCTGAGAGGATGATGCGCTCAGGCCGGACAGCCACATATGCGGGCCATTTACCCCAGGAGGCGGCGCCGCGTTATGCGAGGTGAAGGGTCGCTGGTGGGGTCGGGGAGACACAGCCTGCTTTGCCCACCCTCCGCTCTCCCATTTTCCTTCTACCTTTTCTAACATGATCAACATTTACTCAGCACCAACCATGCAAGGAACGAGGCACTGGACAAGGAGAGCAAACACTCTCCCTGCGGAGCGAGACGTAAACATAGGTACGACAGAGACAGCTAACACCAAATGAGTGATACTGGCATTGCTACCGAAGAAAGGTAAGACGGTGGGGAGCCAGAAAGGCTGGCTGAGAAAGGTTTCTTGGACTAGATGGTGCTTGGCCAAGGCTTGAAGGAAAATTAAGATTCAGAAAGTTGCGAGTTAAAAACGGGTGTTACAGACCAGTGTGAATCAAGACAAGGTACCATGTGAACATACTGAACGGTACTCAACTCTACACTTAAAACGGTGAAGACGGTAAATTTTACGGTGTGTGTATTTTATCACACACACACACACACAATTTAAACAACATAAAAAACAGGCGCTTCCTAAAAATTCATTTTAAAAGATGGCATATAGACATATTGCCGTTTGTAGCAGAAGCTGATCAGTCTGATTTTGTAGAAGGTTCGTGCAGAGGTGATGGGAGATGCAGTGAAGAAGCCCGGCCAGCCTTTCGAGCGCCCACTGTCTCACCTTCCTGGGGCTGCGATGCCCGTGTTAGTCATTTGGGGTTGGCTCTTTCTGCCGCACCTACGTTTCTGTCCCGCGCCCCAGGGAGAGTGTCGCTCTTTTTCTCCAGCGCCTTGTTCCCGGCATGGTTGGTGCTGAGTCAGTGTTGATGTTGGAAAGTAGACTGAAGCTGGACTGTGCAAAACCTCATGCCAGTGGCACCTGATTCTTTCAGCAAAGGTGTCAACTTTGTGGTCCAAGGATGGGCTTCGAGTGTTGGGACGTGAACACCCTGTCATTAATTTCAAATGTTTGTTCATGTGTATTTTGATCCAGGGAGAGAGTAAACAGCTTTCAGAGTCTCAAAAGGGTTTATAACTTAGAAAACTTGAAAACCATTCAGGTAAGCAATTGGCAGAGTGGTCTGTGTGGGGATGGCTTGGGGTTGAGGTTACATATTATTTCCCTGGAGACTCGCTGTTAACTATATACCAGACGGTATTTGACGAGCTGATGCCACACCTCTCCTTAGTGGTTTCTTAGTCACTAAGTATTTAACAGAGCTCTTGGTAGTTTATAAGAACAGCTAGCTCAGCAGAGAAAGTTGGTGACACCTACTGTAGAAAAGAAAGTAGCAGAGGGTGAGCAGAGAACAGAACCCAGTAAAAGAGATAAGAGGTAAGGGGATTGATTCAATCGGTTAAAATGCCATAGAAGCCAGAGGAAAAAAGTCCAAGTAAGATGAAGTAGCTACCAGGGTCACGTACAACAGAAGGATTAAGAAAGATAAGGAATATCAAAAAAAAAAGATCTCCAAATTCTACGACCTTCAGACGCCTGGTTTCTGTCAGGTGATGAAGAGGTCAGAGGTTAAGGACAAGGTGTCCAAACTGGGACACTTGAAGAGCATCGGAAAGTGCTGTGATAATGACGTCAGAACATCGGGCATAAAGGGCTGTCCTGGGCAGACGGATGTAGTCTGTCACCTACCTGGGGAGGAAGTTAGTAAGCAGTGCAGCCAGGAAGACAGAAGAGACCAACTCAAAGGATTTGGTTATGAAAAGATAAACAGGACATGAGTCAGAAGAACTGGGAGAGGTGAGGCTTTATGAGTTAATACTCAGATGGCGGGGGAGGCGGGGAGGACTTCTGGAGGTTTTACAGAAGGGAAGGAGTGGATGAGAGCGTCTCGTATCTTCCATCTCACTGAACGTCGAGATGCACGCCAAGGGCCCTCAGGCATTCTTGCATCAGTACTGTGGGACTCTCGTCCTCCAGGAGGCAGGAAGGGACAGAATAAGCAGGAAGCGGGAGGGGCCTTTCTTCCTCTGAAACTGTACCAAAGGAGAAAAGAAAACACGACAAGAAAAGACAGGCCAGGGTACTTTATTTCAACCTAGTGGGCATCAGAGACGGAGCTGTCAAAGAAGGCATTTCATTTCCAAATTAGCCTCGCAGTGGCCTTTTCTTCAAGGGGAAAAAATCAGTAAGAAAGTAACCCCTTAGGCGTTCTTTAAAACTAATTCCTATGTAGACTGTCAGAACTACAGCAATAAGAAGTATATCGACAGAGCAATATATAATTTCATTCAGGGCTGAGCAATTGTTTTATTTATAATTTCATTTCAGGTACAGCTAGGGGGCTATCGAGAGGTCAGGCTTAAACTGGGTAAGAAAACCATGGTGGGTGTTGGGATGCAAAGTTGAGACCACACTGACTATCTGGGGTCAGAGGAAAATCTCTCAGTTAAATAATCCAAACGGGGCTCATCTACAGACAATTCTGAAATTACAATGAGGCTCCTCATCCAAACTCAGCACGCTCTCACACAGAAAAGACGGCTTTCTCAGAACGGAAGAGAAGCGGGGCCAGCCAGCACCCAGAATGGGAGCTGTGCGACCTGGCAGCGCTGTGGGCCGGCGGAGGGTCACCAGGGAACGCTCGATAGCAGGAAACGGCAAGGTGTGAATCACTTTCCAAAACGCGGAGCTCAGCGTAGACATTTAAATAACCAGACGGACAGATATTTATTATAAAAGTCAGTTTATTTTCCCTTCCTGTGTTTCAGATTTTCCCTTTTTGTCAGTAATGAGCAATTAAGTGATTAGAAGTCTGCTTGATTAAATAATATGAACAGGTTCACAAACACGCCACATTTCAGAGTATAAAAACAGGAGGTTGAAAAATATTCCCTAATCCAATGTAAATTAGGCAGTCCTCAAAATTGCACATTTTCCCCCTAGTTTGCTTACATAATTTAAAATATATGTACAAAACGACCTTAAAATATAGATAATTAGTACAGAATTCATAGCCTCGAAGACACATACTCTACCAACTTCTAAAGAAGACATACCTAGATACCTCTCGGGCCCTAGTAATCCATTAACGTGGTTCGATGTCACACACCTAATGCCTACTAGGATGAAAGGTCCTTCCTTTCTTCTCAAATTCTAGTCTTCTGCTGAGGTAATTCAAGAAACCCGGTTGTGACACAAACCAATCCTCTGAAAAAAAGGCTGCAGAGATTAGCTTCCTAGTGGATCCTAAAGGCCCCAGACAGCACATCTGGGATGGAGTACTTCAGTCGTGGATTATATGTTGGAATGTTCATGATGACTGATGGATCTCATGGTCCTTGAAAGGATGACTAAGTACTTCCAGGAGTCAGAGATAATTCTGAATGAAGATGGAGGAGAACAAGTTGACAATAATTTGAAGATATTTCTGCTTCTGGAGCTGACTTTAGCTAGGACACAGAGTGACTAAGCCAACCAGCACGTGGTATGATTGGTCCCACCACAGTTCACACTAACATTCTTGGTCCAAGGCAGGCTTATGCTTGATCCAGCTTGAGCACTTTTATCAGGATTTGGTGCTTCAAAGATGAGCCACTCTCTGCAAATGCATTACCAAAACAAAATGCAGCAAGCCTTTCTATTTGTGGAGCCTGTCCTTGACATAAGCATGCATGACTCCCTCATGGTCACTCAGCTCTCCAGGCTGGAGAACAAGGGTCCAAGTCCAACATAGCATTTAAGGTTAAAGGGACAAACCTCGACAGGCCAAACAGAGACACTGGCAGAGTCACAGGCCATTCGTACAATCATGAAACGACAATAAAAATCATCAGCGGTAATTTCTGTAGTGTAGCAAAACAGCCCGGCCTTCACACTGGTCAGCATCTCAGGTGGCTAAGACTGTTGAAAGAGGCTGGGCGATCTGAGGTCATGTTGGCGCTCTTAAGACAACCCCAAAATAGGATGAATTAAAAGCGCTAATAGTCCTGATGTGTCTCCTATTAATCTCATTCTTCCGTGGGCACTAGTCACTCACTCAGTATGTGGGCTTGTCGTCTTTGCACAAGGGAGTGTATTTCCCTCACTAATAATGGTGAAATAAACAAAATTGTACAACTTGTCTGTGAAGAGAAAAAAGGCATTAAATGTGCAGTCGCAATTTAATTAATTCTGTTGGAACATCATGTTTTGAAAACAATAATGAATTTGGACAATTACATTCATTTTGACTTCGTACAAAGATAATGCTCATCTTCAGTGAATTAGACAATGATTCTGAAAATTACAGTTAATATTACAAAATACTTACTGTTACATTATAGTCTCAAAAAAAAATAAAGAACTATGTTACACAAATTAAATAATTCACTAGCGGTGGAACAGAAAATTGATTACAATTTCTAGTATGATCGTAATAGGTTTTCATCAGGAGATAGTTCCCCCAACTTAGCACGACGTCAGAAGTGGAACAGTCACATGATTCAGTCTTTAGAAGCTAGGAGGCAGTTAGGCAGAAGGCTCCTTTGTGACAGCAGAGGACAGAAGCCTGAAGGCCGCACCAGGGCACTCCAGGTGCCGAACTAGCCCATGACTCCTTGAGCAAGACAGCAGTGTCTGGCCTTGGGATGACTGAGGCTGCCTCTAATTAGGATGCCCTAGATTTAGGGACAGGACCCTGAATGCATCCCCTGGTGGATAAAGCTGTCACCAGACTCTTTCGAGTCGAGTCTTGAGCACCACCTCACCAATCATATGAAAGAGTATGTCACATGCTTATTCAACAGAGAGCATTTTAAAAGCACAAGGCCTTATTTTATATTGCCTATTTCCCAGAAAGTACAAAATTCCAGCCAAGACTATTTTCTCAAGAGACTCAAGGTTCATTTTAGAACCTGCACACCCCAGTGTTAATTACAGCCATGCTTCTTTTTTAACCCTACGTGCTTTTGGCGTACACTGTAATTTCCTTCAGAATTCCCAAATTATATTTAGCAGATACAGAATACCCCGGAAGAGCACACTGATTAATAGTTGGTAATACTTTAAATAAGTCCCTTGTCATTTTTTCTGTCATTATAAATGACAATACTCATTAGACTCAGGTCAAGGGCAAATAAAGGCCCTTCCCCTCCTTGAAGAAAGAATGTGTCTTTTAGACTAAATGTTACTTTTCACAAAAGGGTCTTTAACGGCAATCAGCAATTTTGCTGGCTTAAGGAGTGATTTAAGTAAATGCTTTCAACTAAATTAATAAGAAAATCTACTAGTTAAAAAAAGGTGGGGGAGGGGGGAAGGGGGAGGGAAGCACACACTTACCATGAGAATGAAAAAGTAGAAAACCCACATCCATCCTAAGTTGTCCTGGATCAAAGACACTAAATACTAAAAGGGAGAAAAAGAAATTACAATATAATCTTTTACAAATTAATAAAATGAAGTAGCTAAACAGCAGACTAAACATGGCCCTTCTAGAAAATAAGGGAGTTAGGGTTTGTATAATGTTTTGCAGTTTACAAAGCTCTATCACATACATGTTCCTACTTAAGCTTTATTAATGGCCTTCATTTTGTAAGCTGGCAGAGTCCAAATACAAAAACTGCGTAGCAGAAGACATCGGTCCAGAAGGCTTGTTTCTATTCACTTTGCTATTAAGAGAGGAAGATGCACATACTCAAGTCACTGCCATTTACTCATTCTTTCTTCCAAGGAAAGGTACTATAACTGATGCTTTCAAACAGTTTGTCTTTTAAGTATACCACTTACTTTTCAATTATGCTGTTTGCCTCTAGGGTTACTAAGTGACTTTAACATCCTACAGCATATTCTTTTACTTTACTTTCAATTACTGAAAAAGATCTAATAGCACTTAAGTCATTTTCTTTTATTATGGTAAAATATGTAACATAAAATTTGCTATTTTAACCATTTTTCAGTGTACAACTCGGCAGCATCAAATACATTCACAGTGTTGCACAACCATCACCACCCTCTATTTCCAAAATTTTTCATCACCCCAAACAGAACCTCTGTACCCATTACTAACTCCCCTTCTCCCCTCTCTCCAGCCTCTGGAAACCTCAAATCTGCTTCCTAACTCTGAGTTTGCCTGTTCTAGATGTATCACATGCTAAGTGGAATCACATATATGTGTCTTTTTGTACCTTGGCTTATTTCATTTAGCATGTTTTAAGGTCCAACCATGCTGTACTATGTACCGAAGCGTCGTTCCTTTTCACGGCCGAGTATTATTCCATTGTATAGAGACACCACCTTTTGTTTGACCATTTATCTACTGATGGACGCTTGAGTTTTTTCCACCTTTTGGCTACTACGAATAATGCCACAATGAACAGTGGCTTAAAAGTATCTGTATATATTTGTCATGACAATTTGTTCCTGTTTTCTTCTAAAAGTTTTATAGTTTTAGCTCTTAAAGTTAGGTGTTTAATCCATTTGGAGTTAATTTTTATGCACGGTGTAAGGTAAGGGTCCAAATTCATTCTTTTACATGTGTACATCCATTTTTCCCAGCACCACTGGTGTAGAAAACATTATTTCCCCAGTGACTGGTCTTGGCATCCTTGTCAAAAAACAATTAACCATAAATGCGAGAGTTTAAGCATGTTCTTTGATTACATTACTAGTGAAATTCAAAAGCGGAAGAAATTAAAGCAGAGCAATTGAGTGATTTAGCCTAGAACATATGGAAAGCAAAAAAGCAGAGGTCTAGCCACACAATAAAGGGAGCAGAGTGGCCTTCCAAACTCTGACTGCCACTTTATCTTCCTTTGAAACAGCTTCACTGTTATATAATTTACATAAGTTCACCCACTTAAAGTATACAACTCGGTGGTTTTTAGTATACTCAGAGTTGCGTGACTATCATAATCTAATCTTAGACCATTTTCATCGTCCTCCAAAGAAACCTTGTACCCACGACTAGTCACTCTCCAGAGCCACCCAAACCTGGGCAACCACTAACCTAATTTCTTCCCCTATAAATCTGCCTTTCTGGAGACCTCGCATGAATGAAATCACACGCACCGCATGGTCTTTGTAACTGGCTTCTTTCGCTTAGCATGGTATTTTTGAGGTTATTGCATCTATCGATCCTTCCTTCCTCTTCAACTGCCAAATAATACTCCATTATGTGAATATCCATTTTATTTATCCCTTCATCAATTGACGGGCATTCAGACTGTTCTGAATAATCCGGTTATGAACATTTGTGTACAAGTGTTTATGTGGACATTTGTTCTCATTTCTCTTAGGTAGATGCTGCAATTTAATCTTATGGAGCTCCTGCTATTTGTCAAAAACATACAAAGCACTGGGAACATGAAGATGAAGAAAACATCGAGAGTTCATGTTCTCAAGGAATGCAGAGTCCGGTACAGTGGACAAATAAACCGGTAAACGTGACACACTGTGAAAAGTGTTCTATGAGAGGTTTGCGCCGACTGCTATGGAAACCAGGAGGAAAACAACCTCTTTTCCTTGGGAAATCGAAGAGAGGTGGGAGGAACAAAGTTATTCAGGGTGAGTGAAGGGCTTGGCTGGGGGACAAGGCTGATAAGAGCTTTTGATATCGAGTCACCAAGTTTAAGGTTTCACACCTCAGACAACAGGAAGCCAGAGGAGGTCTCAAGCTTCATCCCCAGGACGGCCTGTGGCACTGGAGACCCCAGGCTTTACCTCAGCGAGTCTGTAGGAAGCTTAGTGGCCTGCACTTTAATGGCCATCCCAGATGACTCTGATATGAGATGTTCATAAACTGCCACTTAAGACATAGTTGTAGGAAGCTGAGAAAGCGACTCAGAACAGCTGCAGAGTCCATGGAAACTTCTGGTGGAGATCCAGGTGACGAGTGTCAACGCGTGTGTGTGTTTGGTAGGGTTTACGTGTCAGGGGTGGGATAATGAGAAGCATGTGTCTCATGGCGCCCAGAGTGGGCCAAGTTCAGGCTGGGAAGCAGGGCGTGGTGGGCTGGGACTGAAGGGTCTGATGAGGTGTTAGCTTATTTCCAGACAGGAAGAATCGGGAAGTAAAAGTGGAAAGAAGAAACTAAAAAATGTAGAGGGACCTTCCATGGGAGGTCATATTGCTGGACCTCAGAGAAGACTGAAAACCCCCAGGCTTGCAGTGTAGTGTACTACAGCACAAGACTGCCACCTACTGCGGCCCAGCAGGCAGGTGTAAATCCTTCCCCCGGTGAAGGACTGCTTGACACTCAATTTCGACCCCTCTCCTGCTCTCTCACCTGGCCCACCGCAGCTCCAATGCTCCCAGTTCCGTCAACAATGCCTGTGACCGTCGCCAAAGCCTCACTGCTCCCTTGGACCAGATCCTGGCGACCCAGGTCCGCAGAAATAGCAGAGCTAATCATGTTAGAAGGTCCACCAATAAAAAATCCTGAAGTCATAAACAGAACAGGTTTTTATTAAAACACTATTCGTAACACCACTTGGAATCTATCGAATACGACAAACTCTTATCCCACAATTTTAATCAGTATGTTGGAGAGACACCAAAAAAGGGAAAAAATAACCAGTGGAAATGGAAATTCTCCCAGATAGGACCATCTTCAAACTAGCTACCATCCACTTTTCTGAAATCCCTTCTGGAACTACGTGACAGTCTGGTATATTTTACAGAAACCAGAGATATAGAAAACACAGTGAACACACAGACTCTCTCATCCTGTGAAGTGTGAATTCATTAATAACTAATTATACTAGCTTGTCAAATTCTATTATGGTAGAGGTGCATCACAGAGCATTTGACTACCAAATTCGACCAAATAAATCAGAAAAGAGAGGGAAGAGAAAAAGCTATTTAAACGGTGCAGGTGGCTCTTTCTATCTGCCACCGATCTCGGGGAGGCCGTCCAAGGACCGAGCAGGAGTTGGCCCGTTTGAATCTGTTTGCAGGGCTGGAATCAGCTCCATGAGCCTCGTGGAGCACGAGCAGCTCTCACTATGCTGAGTGTGATCTGAAGTTTAAAAATAAGGTTATATCTATAACATGGTCCTTAACTGCACTCAATTGTTTCATCTGGGGCTGAAGTGACGAAATACTGACCGATTCCAACACAGGAGGGAAAACTAGCTATACGGGACTTTTTAAAAGCTGGTGAACTGGCTTCCAATGTGACAGCTTCTGAAGCCACTTTCAGAAGTGACGTGAGAAGCTGGGACAGCAATCAAAAGTGTTAGGAAATCTCTGTCAAAAGGGACTGATTCTGTAACGACAGGGCTGAGGAGGTCACATAAGAGCAGAGAAACAGAATTTGGAGGAGGCATCTTTCCTTTCACTATTTCAGGTCTCTGTACTTGAGGTTTTAGTATAACTCGAACTGAGGAAGAAATCAGTTTCCTTTTTCCTTTTTCCTTATAGAGGAAATAGCACAATGAAACGGAGCCAGATGCATACCTGTAACAGCCATCAGAAGTGCGTTAATGGACTTATCATTTGGAGAACCTGGAGGAAAGACAGAAACAGCACGCTGACTTTAAAAGCCCACTACATGTGCCTCCACCGAACAGTACACAAAGATCTGGATCTCTGTGACCTCACAGATCACACCTCGGGACAACAAAGGGATGCGACTCTTTCACGGCCTCCTCTAACTTTTATTTGTAATGTCTGCCTCTTGCTGGTGCTCAAGCTAATGAGACTTCCAAAAGCTACAGAAAAACTCTACTCCCATCTCATCTGAAGGGACATATACCAAACCTACTAATTAGCATCTTTCCTCTTTTGAAACCTTTTCCCTTTTATTGTTTTATTGGCTCTAATGCGGTCCCTCTGGAGCCTACCCTCAAACAAAGCATACACACTCCCAAGCAAGCTTTTAAACAAACCAGCAGAGCAGAAGAGATGCCAGTTTCCTCCCTGACACAAATGAAACGATATGATGATACTTCCACCAGGCTGCTACAGGACAATACAAAGGTCCCCTATCATGCCTTTGTAGCTGATCTCAAGGATCTCCCCTGGGTTGACCACTGACACGGGGCTGACACGGGGCAAATAAATGCCTTAGTCTTAAAAAATCAGGAAAACAATTTAATTGCAAGGGAATACTCACGACTATATCCAACGAGGGAGCCAATTGCCAGAAGCAGGCTTAGAGCTAAAACTGGTGCTCTCTTCTGTAATACGTCAGAGATGAAGCCTTGCAGAGTTCCCCCTTTAAGCACAAAGGGCACATCATAATCAATCCTTTATAATTTAGCACGGTTTCCTGAAACCTGCTCATCATCACATACCCTCTACCTGCTACATCGGTCCTAACGTTGGTCTATCCAAAAAGATGGCTACTCTCCTCAAGTGTTTCCTCCATAATTTCCTTTTAGGAAGATTACCTGACTGTTAATCATCGTGATGTCTGACTGGAACAAGACGCCACAAACCAGATGCCAAATTAAGGAAAAAGGAAGAATCATTGAAACCACCCACTGTCCCTTACTGTTTTCCCTTCTCAAACCAGCTATGGAGGCTTTTTCTGATTTTTCTTTCTATTTATAAATATGATTAATTAAGGACATGCCTCACAGGCTATTTGTAGCAACCAATAAAAAGTTCACTAAAATTAAATGCAGCAATTATGGTTTAGAAATAACTAACAGGTCAGGATGTTTAAAAAAAGGTGATGTGACTCTTTCAAGCAACATGGTTACGTCTAGATACAGTCGCATTTTGCGTTCTAGGGGCTATGGGATTCTGACAGATCCTCTTCGCACAGTAGGACACAGAAGTATGGTCAGGTCTAAAGGCGACAAGCTCACCTTTGGCTCTCGATCTAAGAATAGGGCAGACAAGTTCAAATACGATAATAGTACATCACCTAGGGATACACTGAGTGCTTTCATGAGCTCAGGGCAGTTTAGTCTTACCACAATTCTAAATGTAAACATTACAGAAAGGGTATTAAAGTGTTGTCATAGCCATATAAGTCACACCCACTAAAATGCATTCTGTGTCTTATTTAAAAGTCTCTCACTTCCTGTTTATAATTCCAGCTATAACAAAAAGTCGCTATTAAAATCTGCTATGTATAAAGCAATTGCAAAATACTCACGATCCCTGCTATTATTCCTGCCTTTATGATCTGACAATCTATACACTAAACCAGTATCCTCCCTTTGGCTGAGGGTGGTGGCAAAGGTGAAAGGTAGATAAAATGAACACATTCCAATTCTAACTCGAATCTCTGACATACGACTAGCTCTAGAACTAAGGTATTACTGAAAGAGTACTAAAGGATTACAGTAAAAGACATCAAAGAGGTAAACATCCCAAGACAAAAGAACTGATCCATCAACAAAGGACTGAGAAAAAAGAGCCCCATAAATCACAGGGCTGCCGTAGGCTGTTTTTCCTACGAACTTTATTTTTTATTTAAGCGTTTGGCTGTTTACTGGCAGGACAGTTTAGGAAAAATGCTTGTGGAATAAGTAATAAAACATTAAATGATGCCAGATTTCACAACCCAGTAAAAGATGACGAGTGACTAACTCTTTATTATAGAAAAAGATGCATCACGGACATTACCTATAATTCCTCCAACATCGTACCAAATGGACAGCTTGTCGGCGTCAGCCTCCTTCCACCCGAAGTTGTTACTCAGGTAAAAAGGCAACCAGAAGAAGAAGGAGTAATTGACTAACTTCAAGCAGGCATAGGCCACAGAGTACTACGAGGAGGACAGTCAACAGTCAATAAAGAGCAAACAGCACAGCATGACCACAATTTTTAATGTAATTCAAAAGCAAAACAAAATAGAGGAGTTTGGGACAAACATTAGTACCTGATTGTAAAATTAAACATTTCTACATATTCCCGTTTGCCTGACTCTACCCCGTCTCCCTCTTTCCTTTACCCCCATTAGCTTCTAGAAAGGCGTGTACAGCAGGTCTTTGGGATAGAAAACACACAGGCCCATTTCCTAACTGTCTTCAGTTTCGCCTCCTTTCAGTTCTCTGGTAGAAGCAAACCAGTGTTCTGAACCTATAAGGCAGGGCACACAGTCGTATTTCTTTCTTTAGACACAGACAGAAAATATTCGTGCCACTACCTAGCATTAACCATTAGCAAATGAATCCAGTCAACGTCACGGCTTTTAGCGCAAGCAACCAAACTATTTCGGTCCTTCTACTTCCTGCAAAGTTAATATTGTGAACGATGGAGGACAAAAGGACTAAACCAGAGTTTCAAGATCTAAGAAAAGCATCGAGATTAAAACTACTTTCAGATTATAGCTGCCAAAAGCTTTACATTCCCACGTCCAGCGGAAACACAAAGAGTACCTCTGGTGAGTCAAAAATGAAAGAACACGGTTGTCACGGGCCTTGTGCCTCTACTTGGAGGAATGAAAGTTGCAGCTGCCTTGAGACGGCAGTGGCGCTAAGACTCCTACATTCAACACATTATTACCAGGAAATCCTGACATTTAGCATCAAAGGAAAAAGGGGAGGAACAGAGAGACTGACTTCAAAGGGTGTCTGACGAGTATATTCTTCTCCCTGGAGCTGCCAGTTATTCCCTAGGTATCACTTGTTTTCCAACAGCCTCCCTGGCCGGGCAGCAGCCAGCCCCCTGGAGAGCCGAGTCCCCACCATGAGTGCATTTCGTCCAGACAGCCTGCTACAAAGACAAAGGAACTGACCAGATTTCCTCAACACCGCTGCCCATGCCAGGGAACAATAGAGCTTGCGAAACGCCAAGGAATAGCAAAAGATTCCATATTTAGTCACAACAAATTTAAGTTCTGTCTCGGAAATTAAACTATTACCGGCAGAGTATTTGAATAACCAGTTAAAAAATACTAATCATTAGCATAAGAACAGGCCTGAAGGAACTCACATTTCCCTTGTATTACATATCATCTTTTGGTTAAAGAATTGTGGGAACTTATAACTCAGACTTAACTGTCTGCAAATGTTAGTTCTCTTGGTTAGCTTGGGGGCGCAGGCAGAAGGGAACTGACAAGTATGAAATACGACATCCTGCAGATTCTGAATCTAGCTCAGGGGTTACATACAGAAAAAGCACCACTAAACAATAAACGAAAACAGGTGCGTGTTCACAATACAATAACCCAACGTCCTAGACCCCAGGGAAGACTGGCACACTTTCTATTCCACGGGGCGGGGAACTGAGACACAAGGACGGGCTGAGTGACTTACCCCAGGCCTCACAGAGAGTTAGTGGGTAAGCTGGACACATAACCTAGGCCTCTTAACTTCCACTCGCGTGCTAGAGCGCCAGAAACATCAAGACAGAAAAACTGCAGAAGGGATTTAGTTTAGACGTTAGCATGTTCTCCTGACTGTAAAGGTTGTGGAAACACTGGAATGCGTTACCAGGAAATAGCGTGGAGTATTCTGCTCTGGACCTTTTAATAAAAGGGCAAACATCGTTTCCTCCCAGATTAAGAATATCGGCAAATAAAACTCATTCGAAACCTTCTCGGGCAGCATGTAATTCTATAATACTGCAACAGGCCAAAAAATACATATTTAAAAATAGCAACTATGTCTTCTTACCCAAAGGCTGTCAGGGCCAGCAAACTAGGGCTCGGGGCCAAATCGTGCCGTGCCCATTCATTCATGTTGTCCCCGCTTTCTTTTGCCCTAGAGTTAAGTAGTTGTGGCAGAGACTGTACGCCCCCCATGCCCACCCAAAGCTAAAAACATCTACTATCTGGCCCTTCACAGAAAAGCTGTGCCGACTCCTGCATTAGATATCAGATAAAATTTCAAGGGGTACCGATATGAAAATAAGCCGAGGGGCATATCCAATATTCTTCTGAATATATATTTCTAAAATAAAGTATCAAAGATGCTTTATCTCAGGCAGAGTTAATCTCCAGGCTACAGTATGTCTCTGGCTGTGGTAAGATTTGGACGACCCTTACCGGTACAACTCCAGGAAGGCAACAAGCCTGATAAAAGCTTATTGCCTTGACTTGGGCGACGGTACTGCCTTCTTGAACTGAATAATTAGGCTCATACTCATCTTCATTTTCAGCACCACTAATTAATGGCCTGTGTGAGTCTTCTTCAAAATTTTCTTCTGCCTCAACACCTGAGAGACCTAAAACAACAGTAACAGCCACCATTTATAAAGTGCCTTCTAGGTGCCTGGCATTGTGCTAAGTGCTCTGCGTGTTATCGTTACGTATAGGGTCAATATTATTTTTATTTCCATTTTATAGAAGCAGCGACAAGGTTCAGTGGCCAAGGTCAGCTAAAGTCAATTAAGGTCACATGGCAACAAACCCAAGACACTAATTCTACTTTATCTGGCTTCAAAGCAATGCTTCCTCAACTAAATCACACACTCTCTTATATACAAAAAAAAAAAAAAAAAAATCCATTTTACTCTATGAAACTGACATGTCTCTTTAATATTCAAAGGATAGAACTGTACATCTATTTGCTTCTGTGGCTGCGCTTGTACATAATGCGTTTAACCACAGATAAGTTTCACACTAAATTATTTTCGTGAAGAGAAAGAAGTGCCTGTCTCAAGAAATGAAATTAGAAACACACCCATGCTAATTTCTAACAGTGTCTCTATTATAAAACTCATTTCCAAACAATGAGCTTTCCTTGGATCTATAAAAGGTGAGCCTTGGTCCCCCCAAACATTTGCAGCTGTGCCAGGTTTAGCTGGACACAGGACACAGACAGCAATACTGCTCCTTAATTCCCTGAAAGCAGCTCACGGTTCTCCTACGAAAAAAGAAACTGGCTGTCCTGGCCTCAAGATTCTCTTCGCCCATAACAGTAAGACGTTCTGAATAGACAAGACAGCTTGTCCTCACCAATTTCTTCTGGTGACACCAGGAGTCCAAAGAAGATGACGATGCCACCAGCAAACTGCACCGCTGCCGTCACCAGAAAGGCGTACTGGAGGAGAGAGGGAAGGTACTTCTTACACATCGGGGACACTCCTTAGAGGCACACATGGGGGAGGTGGGGGGCGAGGGACGGGGCGAGAAGGGCTGGGACGCTGTGAAGAAAATGAGTGCCGAGGGCTTAGCCTGCGCCAGGTACTGCGCTGTGTTCTACTGCTGTGTCCTCGTTAATCTTCCCAATCATTCTGTGAAGCTCAGAGAGAACTGTGAGGTCCCCTGCACACTGAGTGGTACTATTACAATTGTGAAATCAGGGCTACCCCCAAAAACCTCATTCTTTGCACCGCACAGCCTCCCATGAGACACAGTATCTGCACTCGAAGATATTTTACCCAGTCGAGGGGTTTAAACAACAAACAAAATAATAACACGAGACGGCATGTAACTAAACACATGTCCTAGCAAGAAACGTGTGTAGGAATTTAGAAGAAGGAAACGGCTGAAGAGGCTGAAGCAGCTACACAGTGCTTGAAGGAAGAGCTGAAAATCAAAGCGATTGACCATCTTTCCAGGTAGAACGGAAGCAAAAGCACAGGGTGGAGATGAGCGCGAAAGCCATGTTCACGGTCGAGGCGGAGGGCTTCTGCTAGATGACAGGGAACATAAAACTGATTTGGAAAAGTGGTATCACGGCTAAAGACTCTCAAAAGCCAGGCTGTGTAGCTGAATCGTCTCGCAGAGAACGGAGCCTGACGTGGCTAGACAGTCTATATTTTTGAACAAGTAGGAGATGTGTAGTAAGAGCTCTCGCTCCCAGCCCTTCTCCCCGTCCACTCAAGCCTCATTTTCCCAACATATAACCATTGTTATTTCACTTTTCCTTGCCAGAGATTGCTTTAGAAACACACGAGCCAATACAAATATGTACTCTTTACTTCTTCCCCCATTTTACACAAATGGAGTCATTCAGTACACACCGTTTCACACCCTTGCTTTCTTCA